CAGAACAATCCAGGTTCAACTCACTTGGTACCTTGAAGTGAAAAAAAAAAAAAAAAAAAAAAGACAAAACTAGTTTTTCTTGCTCTGTAATTTCCATTCAAGAGCTTTAAGAATTATAATAGTATAGGGACAAAATATGTGGTAAAGTAATACCTGGCCAGCTGTGGCCTAATTCTCTAAGCACTGAATTGTGTTCTCTCTCTTTCTCTCACCCCACCTTCTTTATATATTTTGACTAAAGATCCTTTAAAAGGTAGATGCCATCACAGTGCTCTCCTTTCTTTTCCTCCTACTGTGTTTTCCAACCACTGACATCAAGTCATTGAGATCTATAAGGCGCCAGCAGTGGCTATGCCTGAAAAGACTGAATTCTTTGTGTACATAATGCTTGCAGTGTCAACTATACAACTGTTATTTGATCTGGACTTAGATCCTGCGCTAAAGAATGTGTCCATGGTTCACTTGGCCAGTTAAATGAGGATATTAATTTTTTTTAAGCAAGTGTACAAAGTGGTGAGTTTTATATGGAGTTTTCATATATATGTAGTTTTAAAGTTTTTTTAAATTTATTTAAATTTTAAATTTATTTTGGTTTTTCAAGACAAGGTTTCTGTGTGTAGCTCTGGTTGTTCTGGAACTCACCCTGTAGATCAGGCTGACCTCAAACTCACAGAGATCCACCTGCCTCTACCTCTACAGTGCTAGGACTGAAGCCCTGCATGGCTATTTATTTAATTTTGTATTGAGACAGTATCTCAGTGGCTAGTCCTGGCTGGCCTAGAACTCTACATACACTAGGCTAGTCTAGAACTCACAGAGATCCACAGACTTTTTTCTTCTGAGTAAGTACTGGGATAAAAGATATATGCCATCAATAAGACAAATAAAGGAGATCAAGGGAATTCAGTTTGGAAAGAAAGAAGTCAAAATATCACTATTTGCAGATGATATGATGGTATATATGAGTGACTCCAAAAATTCTACTAGGGAACTCCTACAGCTGATAAACAACTTCAGCAAAGTGGCTTATCCAGAAGACAAATGGACTGAGAAAGAAATGAGGGAAATAACACTCTTCACAATAGCCACAAAGGACATAAAGTACCTTGGTGTAACTCTAACCAAGCAAATCAAAGACTTGTATGAAAAAAACTTCCAGTCTCTGAACAAAGAAATAGAAGAAAATATTAGAAAATAGAAAGATCTCCCATACTCATGGCTTGGCAGGATTAACAGAGTAAAAATGGCCATTTTACCAAAGACAATCTACAGATTCAATGCAATTCCCAACAAATTACCAACACAATTCTTTACAGACCTTAAAAGAAAAATTCTCAACTTCATCTGGAATAACAAGAAACCCAGAATTGCTAAAACAATCCTCTACAATAAAAGATCTTCTGGAGGTATCTCCATCCCTGGTCTCAAGCTGTACTATACAGCAATAGTAATAAAAACTGCATGGTACTGGCATAGAAACAGAATGGTGGATCAATGGAATCAAATAGAAGACCCTGAAATAAATCCACATACTTATGGACACCTGATTTTTAACAAAGATGCCAAAACCATACAATGGAAAAAAAAAGATAGCATCTTCAACAAATGGTGCTGGTCTAACTGGATATCTACATGTAGAAAATAGAAATAGATCCATACTTATCACCCTGCACAAAACTAAAGTCCAAGTGGATCAAAGACCTCAACATAAAACCAGACACACTAACCCTCTTAGAAGAAAAAGTGCGGAAGAGCCTTGAGCTCATTGGCACAGCAGACAACTTCCTGAACAGAACGCCAATGGCGCAGGCTCTTAGATCAACAATCAATAAATGGGACCTCATGAAACTGAAAAGCTTCCGTAAAGCAAAGGACACTGTCATCAGAACACAATGACAACCTACGGATTGGGCAAGGATCTTCACCAACCCTATGTCTGACAGAGGGCTAATATCTAGAATATATAAAAAACTTAAGAAGTTAAACAGCAACAAATCAAGTAATCCAATTAAAAAATGGGATACAAAGCTAAACAGAGAATTATCAATAGAGGAATATCGAATGACAGAGAAACACTTAAAGAAATGCTCACCATCCTTACTCATCAGGGAAATGTAGATCAAAACAACCCTGAGATTTCACCTTACACCCATCAGAATGGCTAAGATCAAAAACTCAAGTGACAACACATGCTAGAGAGGATGTGGAGAAAGGGGAACCCTCTTCCATTGCTGGTGGGAATGTAAACTTGTACAACCACTTTGGAAATCAATTTGGTGCTTTCTCATACAATTAGGAATAGTGCTACCTCAAGATCCAGGTATACCACTCCTAGGCATATATCCAAAAAAGGCTCAAGTATACAAAAAGGACGTTTGCTCAACCATGTTCGTAGCAGCTTTATTTGTAATAGCCAGAAGCTGGAAACAACCCTGATGTCCCTCAGTTGAGGAATGGATACAGAAATTGTGGTACATTTATACAATGGAATACTACTCAGCAATTAAAAACAAGGAAATCATGAAATTTGCAGGCAAATGGCAGGAACTCTAAAAGATCATCCTGAGTGAGGTATCCCAGAAGCAGAAAGACACACAGGGTATATACTCACTTATGAGTGGATATTAGACATATAATATAGGATAATCATAGTAAAATCTATACACTTAAAGAAGCTAAGCAAAAAGGAGGACCCTGGGTAAGATGATCAATCCTCATTCAGAAAGGCAAATGGGATGGACATCAGAAAAGGGAGAAAAAAAGAGGGAAAGGACAGGATCTCTACCACAGAGGGCCTCTGAAAGACTACCCAGCAGGGTATTAAAGCAGATGCTGAGACTCTTAGCCAAACTTTAGGCAGAGTGCAGGGAATGTTATGAAAGAAAAGGGAGATAGAAAGACTGGAAGGGTCTGGAGCTCCACAAGAACAACAAAACCAAAATATCTGGGCCTATGGGTCTTTTCTGAGACTGATACTCCAACTAAGGACCATTCATGGAGATAACCTAGAACCCCTGTACAGAGATAGCTTGTGGCAGCTCAGATTCCAAATGGGCTTCCTAGTAAGGTGAGCAGGAGCTGTCTCTGACATGAACTCAGTGGCTGGCTCTTTGATCACCTCCCCCTGTGTGGGGAGCAGCCTTACCAGGCCACAGAGGAAGACTATGAAAGACAGTCCTGATGAGACCTGATAGGCTAGGGTCAAATGGAAGGGGAGGAGTTCCTCCACTATCAGTGGATTGGGGAAGGGGCATGAGAGGAGATGAGGGAGGGAGGGAGGGAAGGAGGGAGGAAGGGAGAAAGGGAGGGAGGGAGGAAGGAAGGGAGGGAGGGAGCGGATGAGGCTACAGCTGGGATACAACTTGAATAAATGTAATAAATAAAAATTATATTAAAAAGGTATATACTATCATGCCCAAGCCATATTTTTGTTTTTTGAGACATGGTTTCATGTAGCTCAGGCTGGCCTAAACTCAGTATGTAGCAAGTCTTCAGGTTGGCTCTATGGCCAACTTAAATTAGAATGTCTGATAATGAATTTTTTAGTATGAGTATATCCCAAATATTGTATAACCAAACAATTATTGTTTATTTGAAATTTAAATATAAGCAGATCATCTATTTTTTTTTCTGGCATTTCTAAACAAATATTTCAGAAATAATTTATTTGGCCCTAGCTACCTTTAAACTGATTTCTTGTTATCATTGTGTCTTAAATGTTGTGAAATTTTGCTGTCAAGGTTAGATGATAGGAGGCTGGTTAAGAGCACTGGCTGCTCTTCCAGAGGTCCCACGTTCAGTTCCCAGCAGCTCATACGTGTCTGCCATCCCACTCTCAGGGAATCTGATACTGTTTTCTGGCCTCGTTGAGCATTGCATATACACCATGCACAGACAAACATGTGGGCAAAATACACATACACACAGAGAAGCACACACACACACATACAAAGATCAGCTGATAAACCAGTCTCCTTGCATAGTGTACTGACTGCTGTTTTCTCTGTCTTCACCTGTGATCTTCCGCACAATTCACTAACACTTCTCACCTCTGTCACTACTTTTGCTTCCGCCATCTCCTCTTTCTTCTGTGCTCATTTCTCTCCTGCCCCATTTCGAAATTCATGTAGTTATATGTAATTTTCTTATACATAGGGGTGTTGGGCTCTAGCTCAGTGGGAGGGCACTTGATTGACAGCATGCAGGAGGCCTGGGTTTGATTCTTAGCATTAAAAAAAAAAAAAAACAAAAAAAAAAAACCAAAACAAAACAAAAAAAAAAAAAAACAAAAAAGGATGGGTTTCTTGGGACAAATAAGGATTCAAATCCCATCCTATCCCTTTAGTGTATATAGGATTGTAAAATTATTTCCTGTGTGTAGGCTCCAGTTTCACTTTCTGTGAAATGCCAAGCCCTGATGCTCACTTTGTCAGGCTGCTGTGGGAGCTAAAGGAGATGAGCAAACCACTTAAGGGTGATAGGATTCTTGTTGTCAGAAGAGCTTCAGGCTTGACTATTCACTTGAGCTACTTTATGTCCAGACTTGTGCTAACACTTGCTCTGGTAAACTTCATCTCCTATCATCCTGAACCCAACCAGTTGAGTTCTGTTCCTCTCAGTTCAGGAAATACATACTTAGTTTCTGGTCGTTTCAGTCGGGGGTCTCACTCAATAGCACAGCCCTTTGCAACTCACTCTGTAGCCCAGGATGGTCTTGATTTCACAAGAATATTCCTGCTGTAGCCCCACAAGTGCGGGAATCATAATGAAGTTGTTAAGAGGTTCAGAGCCTGGACCCTAGAACTCCTATCAAGTCCTCATTAGGTCAGTTAAACAGACAATATATACATACATATTTATATACACATATATATGTATATATGTATATATATATACATATATATATGTAGCCCTGGCTCTCTGTAGACAGGGTAGCCTCAAACTGAGAGATCTGCCTGCCTCTGCCTCCTACGTACTGGGATTACAGGCATGTGCCATAATGCCCTTCGAGGTTTTATTCAGTGTAACCACATCAGGGAGAAGAACAAGGGAAGGGGTCCAGTGGATACCCCCAAAGTCTTCAGGGTCTAACATGAAATTTAAGTTTAAATAGAAGACAAGAAGTATATATAAATAAGTAGTTCTGGTCAAGGTATGGCCACACCCATCACTGATCCATCATTCTCTTGGCTTAAGTGTCTCCTGCAAGGTGTTTTGACAAGTTGTTTGGACTGTGTAAGATCTCTTTTCTGGAGATAAGTTCTTCCTCTGGCTGACCCCAGGCTTCATTGTCTTCCTTCTCCCAGTTTGAGATTCCTGTGGAAATTACAATATCTTAGGAACCGTTGTTTGAGGAGTCTGATAACTAAAGGGAGGAGCACAAGTGTTTCTTTAGAATATCTTCACTCATGCCAGGATGGTTGTGGGACTACAGGTGTGTGCCTACCATACAATTTTATGCCGTAGGTACTTTGCTAAGAGGCTGGAAATCAAAAAATAATTAGGAAAGCACTGACCTCAAGGAATATAAAACTGGACAAGGAAGTGAAATTATATAGATATACACAGGATGATTTGAGATGCCAATGGGGCCAGTGAAAGGGGATTTAGGCCCTTAGGAGAAAGGGAGCAAAAAAAAAAAAAATTCTTCAAATTTGAGGATGATGGTATCTGAGCTGGTGGGTGGCCAACTATAAAAACAATGACTGAATAGAAAACAATTTAAAGTTAGTGAAGAACCAAAGAGAGATATGGTCCTGGTCAAGCATTTTGTATACAGGGAAGAAGTTATGTACTGGAGCATAAATTGTGAAGCCAGGAAAGGTCAGTGAAAAGTATTGTTATTTTTTTAATTGGAAAGAAACAAATGTGCCCAATTAACAGAATCAGGAAGGAACACATCAGAACAGAAACATCATAACAAACATGAAAGAAATTCAAAATACTATAAGGGCATACTTAAAAAAAATGTTCCATTTAGTTGGAAAAGCTAAGTGAAATGGATGAATTTCTGGATTTATCCAAACTACCAAAGTTAAAGCAAGAAGAGATGAAAACTTAAACAGATCTTTGGCCTCCTATCACATCATTTTTCTTTTCTTTTTGTTCAGTCCTGGTGATTGGACCTAGGGCATTTTTTCAGTTAGTCTTGTCCTCTCCCACATCTTTAAAGCAAACTTAAAAGGCAAGAGAGAATTTCACTAAGTTGCCCAGATTGACTCCTAAGTTATCCCCCTGCCTCAGCTTCTCAAGCAGCGAGGACTTCAGTTGCATTTCTATACCACACAAGGCTCATGTCTTGACTTCACACCTTACCTGAAGAGTGTTGCAAACTGGCCCTCTATTTTCACAGTTTTAGGTTATTTTTCAGTTCTCTGCCCTCCAAGACAGCAAAGCATGTCACTACTTCATTATTATAAATGCTTCTACTTCTCTATCTTTAAAAATTCATTTTAAAATTTCCTGAAAAAAAAAAAAAGTCCCTTTCTCCAACCTATGTATTTGTGACACTGAACATGGTGGTATCTCCTGTGATTTCTGCACTCAAGAGGCCAAGACAAAGATGAATTATAAGTTTGTAGCCAGCCTGAGCTATATAGAAAGTTTCAGGGCAGCCTGGGCTAAATAAGGAGACCTTGTCTCAAAACCATAATAAAATAACAACAGAAAAGAATTTATGTTGTAAGGTATATTTTTCTCGCTAATATATTGTAAATCTTCCTTTTCCTTTACAATCACACATTTATGCTACCAATTATTTTCTGGGTATCGGTAGACACATGAGCAGGTTCCCCCAAAATACACCTCAGAATAGTGCCAAGCTGTAATTATCATGTATTAGGCATTTTAAGTTTTTCTTTTTCTTTCTTTCTTTCTTTCTTTCTTTCTTTCTTTCTTTCTTTCTTTCTTTCTTTCTCTCTCTCTCTCTCTCTCTAATGGAGAAAGGGCTCAGTGGAAAAGTACATGAGGTACAACAGCTTGGGTTCAATTTCCAATAATTTTGGGAGGTGGGAGTGGGGAAGAGAAAGGTAAAGGAAAGAAAGCAGATGTAATTGCTTGGCACAGAAAGGCTGAGACAGAATGGTTGCCAATAGATAGAGGCCTTCAAGACTAGCCTAGCTAGCCTGAGCCACAATGTGGGATCCTGACCCCCCCTTTTTTTGTTTTGGTTTTTTTAAGTAAGATTTGTATTAGTTACTTTCTTCGCTGCTTTGACAAAAATGCCTGACCAAAAAACTTAGGAAGAATTTATATGGGTTCACGGTTTCGGAGGTCACGTGGTTTCGTTGCTTCTGGGCCTCTGGTTGTGATTTATGTAGTGGGGCAGTTATGTACTGAAAGTATCAGACTAACTTTGTAACCTATGTTTCTTTTAATTGCCTTATAACTTATATTTGCAAGTTTTAGGCCCATGTTAATTAAAGCCTCTTAGTGCTTCTCCAGAGAACCGAGGAATGTAAAAGTTCCTGACATTAGCCATCTGTGAGGGCAGAGATAAGGAAGAGAACAAGCAGAGATCTCTACTAAATGGAGAAAAAAAAATCACCGGCTGGTGTCGGTGAGATGGGCTTCGTTTGGAAACTGGGCCAAATGGCCCCAATCCTTCTCCTGACCTTTGATCCAAAACCTGTAACCCCCACTCCTCAGAACAGACATGGGATGAGTTAATCACCCTCCCACATTTAACTGTGGATGGCAGGAAATTCCAAACTGACTTGACGATCAGATATTTACGACAGGGCTGACTGGACCTAAGGGTGACCAGAACTAACCAATTATTTTAAAAGTTAAACATTTCATCCAATCCTAAATTGCCAAGAAGTCAACCCCAGGAGATTCCCGCCTTGTGTCTTTTAAAAACCTAAGGTCTTTGTCTCCGGTGCCACTCCTTGCTGACCAGCAGGGGTGACCCCATTGTACAATGGTCAAGAAGAGTCTCTTGTGTTTTTGCATCGATGGATGATTAGTTTCCTGAGTTCTCTTCATACCTTCTTATATTTAGGCTCTTGCTGGGCCTAACAGTACAAAGAACCTTACAGGCTGCACAGAACACCAGAGGAGAGGCCAGGGTAAGACACACCCTTAAAAGCCCGTGACCCACTTCTTACAAATAGGCCTGTTCCACAATTTACACCATCTCACAATAATACCTTCAAAAGTTTAATATATCAGTGGTCTAGGTCAGAGCCTTCACTTATCTACTCAATTCCCCCAACTCCAAAGCCCATTAGCTAGTAACCAAATCTTTACCATATGATGGGGTACCATATATGGGCAGATGGGGAACATTTTAGATTCAGACCTCAGCAAATATCTAGATCTACTTTACATTCAATGAAGAATAGATTACAAAAAAGCTTTAAAGTGAGGCATCCTGTGCTAACAATCACCTGATTTTATTTTTCTTTGTGGTTTCCTAACTTTGCTTCCCTAAGACATGGTTTTAATCATTCACAACACGAAGAGGCATAAGCTGAATTCTAGCACAGTGTTAACGGGGAAGGGATGAATCAGCTGTATGGAACGAACAACCCAAACCCAAAATATTACCTTTCAGCATGTCTCCCGGTAGCATTGGCTACAGTGGTTGGAAGATTTGCGAAATATTTTAGAAGGCTTTAAAACGTAGTATGTATGAGATCCTCTCAGACAGGAAGAGGTAAATCGCTCTCCTATACCGCGGTATCTCTCTCTTTACCTTTCCCCTGTTTAATGACACTAAGCCTATTTTGGATTCCCAAGACTCTCCAGGTCTGTCACGGTGGGGGCAGCGGTCATTTCCAAAGGAAAAAGTTGGCTCCTAGACTAAGGTTGGTAACCTGCACCAGGGATAATCTCGTTTTCAACTAATTGCTGGTCATTTTCAGGAGCCAAGATCCGCCTCCCGGTTCTCGGTCAGGGTTCTTTGGCCCAAAGGACTTCGCCCTTCCTGAAGTTTCGGGTTATCCTGCCACTGTGCTGCTGGAGTGTCTGGCAGAAACACCCTTCCTATCACTGTCCCGCAACCGTGAGGCCGACACGGGAGCTGCACAAGGAGCAGCCCCGGTGCGATCACCTCAAAGACGCGGCCCACAAGCGCGAAGCTGGGTCCGACGGAGCCGAACAAGGAACGGCGTTTGCCTGGGCCGAGGCGGAAGCCGGAGCCTTTGGCGGACGGGACCGCGGGAACCCGGAAACGCCTGGGCCGCGTCGAGGCGGTCCGGGGTACCGGAACGGCTGGAGCCGGCGGCGCTGCGGGTCAGCGGTCGCGGCGGAGCCGACGGGCTCGGCAGCCTGGGGCGCCGGGCGTCTCGGAGCCCGGAGCTTCGGTGCGGGTAGCTGGTCGAGCCGCACGGCGGGTGAGCGGAGTGCGCTGGCGGGGAGCGGCGGGCGCCGAGGCCGGAGACTGTGGGCTGGGCTGGCGTGGGGCGGTTGAGGTACGGGATGCTTGGGCCACCCAGACTGCAGGGGAGGGCTGCAGCTCACGTTCAGAGCGAGCAGATGAATGGGCGCCTTGTCCCTCCGGCCCGGACGTGCTTGAACGTTCTGGGTGGAGAAGGAAAAGGTCCTGAGGGGAGGGGTGTGGCAGACAGTTTGCCTGCAAGTTCCAGACTGGCGGGCCGAGTGCCCAGGGGGCCAGGCTGGCGGCCAGTCTTCCCTGGAGCTCCCGTCCATCCTGGAACTCTAGAGTAGGGACAGGTCTGCCGGGAAAGGACTGTGTGCTCGCTCAAGAAGCTGCAGGGACTTCAAGAGATGGAAAGGGTGCCCGTGGTAAGGCTAGACCAAAGGCGATGGGTGTCTGAGACCATGCGAGGTGCCCATCAGAGAGTGTGTGTGTGGCGAGTGGTGCGGGGGTTCTGAGTATTGAAGAGTGGAGGAGTTCAGTGAGTATTTTTATTTAAGTCAACTAAAGTTTCTGCTAGTTCAAATGAATTAAGGGATATTAAGTATAGTAATGGGCCTTACTGTAGCAAGGCACTTAAACTTCCTTTTGAGAAGCGTGTCCTTTATTCTCTTAAGTGCAATATTTGAATATGGCATCAGAGTTGAGTATAGGCACTTGCTTTGGTAGTTACAGATGACGTTTGGTTGTTTCTCACGGTTTAATTCCATTGCTACTGACTCAAAAGTTGTTTCCTTTCGAAGAATGGCTTCTACGTTTACATTTTTTACTAACTTTCCTCCCTTTAAATTTTTTTCTACTGAGTCTTCTGTTTCTTTCTGGCTCCTTCCTGATGCACTATACCAATAAATTCCAAACCGAACTCGCCGCTTTTAGTCGGGCTGCCTTTCAACTACTCCTGTTCTGATAGCAAGCACGGTCACAGGCGCCCTCTCTTCTCTTCCTATCTTCTGTGCTTAGGGAGGTAGGCGGGGGGGGGGGGGGGGGGGGGGGGGGGGGGGGACCCGTGGAATGAACCCTGTGGGAATATTGATGGAGCATTATATCACTGAGCTGTTGGCATGTCTTTGTGACTTCAGTTCTTTGTAATCGCTTTCTTAAAGGCGGAGATTTTTAATGGTTCTGGGGGTGGAACATAGGGCATACTGAATGCTAGGTAAGTGCTTTGCTCTAACCAAGAATAATTTTAAATAATTTAGGCAGACATTAAAAACCCTTCAAAATTTAAACTCATCCATGACTCAAATTAATGTAATCCTTTCAATCTTTTTAAAAAGTTACTTTATCCAACATATTGTATGTTTTTAGACAACCATAGGCTTTTTATATTTATGTTTTATTTGTTTGTTTCATTTGAGATAGGGTTTCATATCATAGACCTCCAGGCTGGCTTGGAGCTTAATAAGTACCCCAGGATAGCCTCAAGTAGGACAATTATTATTGGTTCCATTTTTTAGATGACTATTGAAGATCACACAGGTCGAATAATTTGCCCTCAGTTCTATATCACTTGAGTTTGAAATGGATATAATATGTACTCAAGCATGTGCCTTTTGAGGAATTTAATATCCCGAATGAATGTGGCAAGGTTTTAGAATCATTGGAAACAATTTCTCAGTTAAAAGCCTTATTTTATGATTCAGCAACTAGGGCTAATGAGAATTATGATTCAGTAACTTCTTTTCTTGAAAAATTTAGAGTTTCTATTTGAGGTTAAATAATTTTAAGTTTAGATCAGTGTGAATTGATGCTTAATATTAGATTTTCAATTTAAAAACCAGCAAGTGTATGTTAAATCTATTTAGCCTAATTGTCTCCATGAATGAAAAAGTATAGTGCTGTGATGTGTGTTCTTTCTCTCTCTCTCTCTTGCTCCTTTTTTGTTTTGCTGAGATTTGTTGGGGATGGGTGTAGGGTTGGGTCCCTTTAGCACTACAGTCTTGTGCCACTACGCCTATCGTGTTTATATATGTATGCATTCAAATTTATTTTAATTTTTGAAAGATCTTCTTTTAACATTTATTTTCTGTGTATTTTGCCTGCCTATATGTATGTGTAACACATGCATGCAGTGCATTCAAGAGGCCAGAAGGTGGTTCTGGAGTCTCTGGAACTGGAGTTTCACGTGTTTCATACCCCAGTGCTAGGAGTTGAACTCTGGTCCTCTGCAAGAACACAATGCTCGTAATCCTGGGGCCAGCTTTCCAGCCCTGTATTATATTTTTAGTCATCTTTAAAGATATGTTTTGTTGTTGGTATTTATTTTTGGCAATGACTTTTGACGCTAGAAGGTTAACCAGTTGTCTGCCCAAAACTGTTTATAAACTACATTGAAGGTACCATCTTAAATGAAACCATTCCAATAACAACAGAATGACTAAGTTATTCGACTGTGTATCCTAGGTTGGGCAGCATGGTAGAAATTAGAGTTAATCCAAAGTTGAAGCTTTAGGTTACATTAGGTGAAATGCTAAGAAACAAGTTCACTCCACAAAGAAAGATTCACGTATAACTTTATACCTACTCTGAGTTTTTGTTTTCTCCTCCTTAAAAGTTGGGTATTTTTTCTGGAGCCAGCGAGATGTCTCAGTGGGCATTTTTATTTTATGCGTATGGGTGTTTTGCCTAAATGTACATCTGCATCACTTGTATGCAGAGGCCAGAAAAGGACGTCAGATCCCCTGGAACTTAGTTGTAATTATTTTAGCATTTTATGTGGCTGAGTGTTTTGCTTGCATGTTATGTTCTTGCAGCACAAGCATACAGTGCCCTCAGAGGCCAGAAGAGGGCATTGGATCACTTGCAACCAGAGTGACTGACAGATATGAGCTGTCATGGAAGACCAAGAGTATTGTAAGATCCTGGTGGCCCTTCCTCCATAAAAATAAAGACCTTAGTTGGGCAGACTCTCAACTAGCTCATCTAACTTAACCAGACCACTTAGCCCCATCCAGTCTTATTGCTGGTATACCTTCCAGGCCTGCTCCTGTCTTTTTGCAAAAGTTTTCCTGTTTGCTTCCCAGAGTTTCTTTCTCTTTCCCAGGAAGTCCCGCCTCCCACTTCTCTCTCTGCCCAACTATAGGCTGCCAGCAACTTATATTATCCAATCAGGGACAATTTAGGAGGCTATGGTCACACAATGTCAACGGGAATAGGTGAGAATCTGCCCATAGGACAACAAGAATCCTGGGGGGCAAGCAATCAACACTTGAACACATAGCAGCTCCAGATGAAACCCGACATCTAGGAATTGGAATTGGGTCCCTTGGAAGAGCAGCCAGTGTCTTAGTCACTGAGACCTCTCTCCAGCCCCAGAAGCTTAATCTGGAAAAGAAGTGATATCTTCTTTTCAGGTTATATTTATATGAGATAATCTGTGTGTGATGACTAGCAAGAAACAGGGCATATTAGAGATGTTCAAGGTTCTTACTTAACTTATAAAGTTGTATTTATTAGAATACATTGAGAACCAGTTTTGTCCCTTGTCTGACAGATGTACGGAAAGACTTGTCAAAGCTGTACCACCCTGACCCCTGAAAGCTCTAGAGTTCCTGGGAATGACTTAATTCACAAAGAGATCATTCTTCCTGAGGATTTAAATACTAAGGATTTTATGTAGCCTTTTGTTACTCCAACACAGAGCAAATACCTAATGTGACAGATGTTGCTGGTGAGCAACAAAGGGAGTACAACACTGAAAAGAAGAAAATCTCGGCCATGTTGCCTAACCTAGGATGCACAGTCACTTACCTTTTTTTGTGTGTTTCAGTCACTTATCTATCTTTTTTGGGGGTTAGGGGTGGTTTGTTTTCATTTGAAATGATATCATCTGTGTGGTTGATAAACAGTTGCTGGCAGAGAACTAGAGAAGCTGATTAACATTCTAGCTTCAAAAGTCAGTGTCATAATGTGCCTCTGATAAATTCGTGAGCACTCTTACAAAGTAGGGGGAGGGGCTAAGTCGCTAGAGTATGGCAGGGGTAGTTGAGTGGTAGCACGTGTGCCTGGCATGCAGCAAGGCCCAGAACTGGCCAGGGAGTGGGGAGAGAAAAACACTCCCAGGGCTCAGAATACTATCATCTCTCTGGTTTTTTTTTTTCTTCCTTTCTCGGGACAGGGTTTCTCTTTGTAGCCCTGTCTGTCCTAGAACTCAATCTGTAGACCAGACTGACCTTGAACTCATAGAGATCCACGTGCCTTTGCCTCCCAAATGCTGAGACTAAAGGTTTGCAACCACCACTGACCGGCATACTATCCTCCTTTAGTGGAGTTTTCTGAGCCCTGTAGGAAGGGGTTTTTAAAAGAGACAAATACTCGTTCAAAAATACATACATAAAACAATGAATGATTTGAGATAGGCAGTGGTTTATGACAGGAAATTTAGGCTAAGGCCAGATTATGAGCAGCTGTGTGTCCTCTGTTTGATAAGGTGTCAGCTGAACTTTACAAACAAGAAAAGGATGTGATTAAATGCATATATTCCTAAGACACCTGCAGTGTGGAGAGTAAGTTAGGGTTGGAAGAGCCTGAGCCTGTCCACATCAGTCAGCAGGCAGTGTGAAGGACTTGAATAAGCACAATATCTAAATGTCTGAGGCTAGAAGAGTATGGTTGTGGTGGGGGAGGTGGCACTACACTCTTATGTTTTGATAGTGGCAGTAAAAAGGATAGTGTATTGGTATAGCTCGGTGTTAAAGTGCTTGCCTAGCATAGTGAGGCTCAGGCTCCTATCTCTAGCATAGCTAAAAAAAATCTAGAATAAATAGTAAAGAATCACTTTGTAACATTAGCAAAGTCCCTCTGATCCTGTGGAAATTAATACTTTTTGTGAAGGAACTGAATGGGCTTTGAGGTTTCCACAAGAGGTTGAAGTAATTTTTCATTTATATGATGTTTTTATTTCATTACTGAGTCTATATTTCTATAAAGCATTTATTGAACAAGTATTATATGCAA